ACTTGAGGCAGGCTGCGTGCCACTCGAGGTCGGGCGACACCCGCAGGATAAACTGGTCGTGGATCTGACTCCCGCAGCCCACGCACATGGCCGTCCCGGGCTTCTCTGCCGGGGAAGGACGCGGAGCCCGCGTCAGGCCTGGCTGCCCGGACCTCAGCCGAGGCCGCTCCAGCCCCAACCCAAACCGCTCGCGCTCTCGCTCTTTCAAGAATTACAGCCACAAGGAAGAGGAAATGGGCTTCGTAAAGGTCCAGACAATTGGAAACGAAAAAACAAAATCTTCTGAATTTGCGAGGGCTTTTTGTCACACCCCACCCCACCCCAATTTTTTCTCTATTACATTCACTTGAACATAGTCATTTTATCGATATATCTTGTAACTAAAAGCTAACACGCCAGTGAGAAGAAAGAGTAAATAGATATTTAAGCCCTACCGACGCCACCGCATAGATACTGAATGGTGATGTGCCGGCATTTCCGTCCGAACCCTCCCTCTCACAGTGACTCCCTTCTATCCCAACACAGACACATCAGCTTTAAGCGGAGTCTCCGCTCATCCTCTTTGACATTTCTCAGTCTAAATATCCGAGATCAACATAAAGTAATCTTCCTCACTTGAAGGACCGAAAGACAAGCAAGCAAACAAAACCCCCCTCATCCTTAAATCAAACCTTAGCGCAAAACAGAAGCAGATTTCACAGCCTGAGGTCAGCCTAGCAGGCTCAAGAAAAAGTGTTTAATTATAAACGAAAACAATAGGATTCCGAAGGAAAAGTGGTCCCGCAGGAAAACGCATTCGTTTTGTTTTTTCTCTCCCGGTGTCCTGTCAAATAGAAGCCACTTGTAGAATCCGCTAAACATTCTTCTGCATTAGAAATACTGCATATTAAGCACGCGCGCGCACACGCATACACACACACACACACACACACAGAAAGACTTACTCTTGGAATGATCCCCCATAGTACCCAGAAAAGGATAATGAAAAATAATATCCACCATGCAGAAAAGAGATGTGCGCAAAGCGTGCGGCCAGGGGCAGAAGGACGAAGGTCGCGCGCCCAGCCTCGGCTCTTTGCTAACTAACTCCTCCTGCCCCGCGGAGTTGAAGGAGCGATTCCGCACCGGCCCGCACGCAGCATGACGTCAGCACGCACTCGCCCCGGGCCGGAGCTGGAGGCGGGACCTGTGGCGTCACGAAGCTTCCCCAGAACCGCGGGGGATGCGGGGGAGGTGACGGGGACCTGGGGGCTGAAGGGCGGGGTGGGTTCGGTGGAAGGCGGGGGTGACGGGAGATTGGCTGGAAGGAAATGGGCAAACCCTGATTGGTCCGGAGTGAACAATGGAGCGCAGCCCTCTCCCCCGAAATCTACAAAGATCCTCACTCCGGCCCCGGGTCGGGCAATCCCGGCTGGACCTTGTGTCACCGCTGAGCGGTCTCCCCCGCCGCTGCAGCTCTGATCTTGCCCTTAGACTCACGCGGCCGTCTCCCTAGGCGCGGTCGGGCGGGGTGATGGATACCTGGGGAGTGGAGAGAGGCCGTTCCTTTAAATGCTTCCTTCTTTCATTTAAAAAAACAAACAAACAAACAAAAAACACTCTCTCGGGATGAGAGCTAGAGGGAAGCGTGTCTGTTTGGACAAGACCATCACTATCCAGCTGGTCACCTTCTTCCTCTCAGGCGCCTTTGTTCTCGGGGTCCAAGCTAGACAGAGGTTGAGGGTTTAAACTCTATTTAGACGTCCCCACCCGTGCGCCTGTGGAAAACTCCAAGTTGGAGCATTAGGTGGGTAATGCCAGACGCAGAATCCGAAGACGCTCACCGGATCCAGATTCGAGCCTTGACTTGCATTTGGGGCGGAGGTGTAATTTGACACGGACTCCCCCCCATTCTTTCCCCACTCGAATCTCACAGCTCCTTCTAGGAACAATGCTGGGGTCGAATGTGTGTCCCACTTCTAGAATAAACGATATTTATAAACTCTTCTGTTTTATTTCAGAAACGAACTGCAACGCAATAATCAGAAACAAATGTGGCGCGCGGGGTAATTTACTATCTGTGCAGCGGTTTGTCGGTACTTAGAAAAACTGCGATTTCTGAGTAGTCCAGGCATTTCTTTCTTTCAAAGAAATCGCTGTGGTTTTTGTCTGAAAGGGTTCAAAGACTGGCCCATGAATTATAAATAACATTTACCCAACCATGGGGCTGTTGTTTTCCCATTAAAAGGTGTACTAAGAACTTAGTGCGAGCCTGGGAGGGGCGCAGGTGGACGCCTGGGGATAAAATGCACTGGAATCCCAGACCCACGTCTGCCCAAGGGCGCCATCGAGTGCTGTGGCCCTTCTGCTAAAAACCTAAAACTGGTTGGCCTCAAGCTCTGGGCTGCTCGCCGGGAAATGGGTGCAGCCAAGTGCGCAGGGAGAGCCCTTGCAGACAGCTGGGTCTAGGCCCTCAATGCACACTGAACTCACTACTCCGCGATGGCCTACCTAGCGCCTTAAGTGGAGTTCCCGTCATCTTGTGAGGCTTCTAACCACTGCCACCACCTTTGGAACATCTGGTCGTCACACTGGTTTGGTTCCTGGGCATAGCTTACCAGCCGCTGTGCCAACAGGCCGTCTCTTACGTCCTTTGGCCGCTAGCATCCCAAACAGTGCTCACACTGAGTGTGGGGAAAAGGGGCAGAGGGGAGAATGCTCCGTTTGAATGAATGAATGCCTTTGAATGAATGCGTTTAAATGAATGTCTATGCGTTTGAATGAATGTCTATGTAAATAAACAGGTTTGAGAAGGGAGGGAGCGGGTATGGGTGGGTATGTCTGTGCCATGCTGCTCTGTGACCTCAGGCATTTTATTTTACTTCTATGTCCTTCAGTTTCTTCATCTGTAAAGTGGGAGATAAAAATAGTATCTACCTCTACTATTGTAAGAATTAAACAATTCTGTAGAAAAGGCTTAGAACAATATTTGGCACATAGGAAATACAATACGAGTTGACTATGATAATTATCATCATAACTTTATCTTTGTGTTGGGAGCTTCTCTGTATACCATGCCTTTCCCATGCTCGGTTCCTGCGTGTGCCTGGGTGTGGAGGGGAAATCTAGGTATATCTGTGTCTATGGCATCTGATGATTTCTTTGTGCATTTCCATGTGTGCTTGCTCTGTGTGGGTCTCCTGCAGAGATGGGAGATCAGAAAGTGTGGTCCGAGTGTCGAGTTTGTGTACAGATGGTGTCTGTGTGTCTGCGTACATAGTCTCAGAATAGGGGGTGGCATGTGGTAACGTATGACTCTGCAGTGAACTAGGAGGTGCTCCTGGCAGAAAATCAGTAACTCAAGGGTTCAGGCAGCCAGGAGGGGGCGGCTCTGGGCTGGAATCCTAGGGCTGGACTTTAACACTTTCCTGCCAAGAGGAGAAATTTCTCCTGCTCAGGAGCTCAGGAAAAGCAGTCCTTTGAGACCCTATTAGGGAGGAGGGAGAGATGGCGACTTCTGGGATGTCAGATAGGAGGGTCAAGAACTAATATTTGTTTGGGCTCCACATGTGCAAAGCCCCTGTTATTAGCCTATGGCATCTTTATAGCAGTGTTAATGAGGTCAGTAGTATCAGACTCATTCAATCCCTGAGGAAACTGAGGCTTAGGGCGGTAACATGATTGCTTCTGGTCACAGGATAAGTTGGAGCTGGAGTTCAGAGCAGGTCTGCCTGGCTCTATCTTCCTTGCTTCTTTCACTGTGCAGTGGAAGACCCACATGAATGTGGTCCTATTACCCACCAGCTTCACTTCTCTGGAGCTGTAAATCCGCGAACCAGTTTCAAGATCCCTCCATGTGCATCTCCTGGGTCACAGCCACCCTTGGAAACCCAGCCCTGGAGCAAAAGAAGAGAAAATCCTTTTCCCCCAGCACAGCTATAAGGTGCCGTTGATCCGGCCCTGCCCTTGTTCTCTGCCTCCTGGCTGTTCCCAGGGTCCTCTCCTCCATGTCCCAGGCTATGGCACTCAGGGGATCTGGCTGCCTCCTTTCCTGGGTTTTACAGCACTCTCTACCCTCACTCAGAATAGCAAGCACCTTGAGCTTCATAGCTCTGTATTATCCAATAAAACTAGCCCAGCTATGACCCTCCTCCTGGGAAGGTTTCAGAAGTACAGGGAAGTCTCCTTGGATTCCTTCTCCCCAGACCTCCCACACCTCATCACTGCTGCCTTAAACTCTACTCACAGTTCCCCTAAAAGACAGGCTTACTGTGCAGAAATCCTTGAGAAAGAACAGAACAGGTGGTCACTCGCACTACAGGGACAGCAGCTCCTACCCTGGGAACAAGACCTGAGAGAAAGAGCGGGAAAGTACGAGGCCTGGGGGCCCAGGCCGGGGTGGGAGGGTCACAGAGCAGGCCGGTCACCTAAAAGAAACCGGCCTCTAGTATTTTCCAGTTTTGTTTAGTCAATCCCCTCCTCCTCCTTTTTTTTTCTTCTTCTTCTCCTTCTTTCCATCTAGAACACTAGAACCAAAAGGCCCTTGTTTGACAGAGAAGAAATCGCAACCCAGAGAGTAGTTGTCCTCCCCCTGACTGTCCCGCAAGCCCAGGGGCCCGGTGGGGGCCCAGCAGCGCCTACAGGCCCACCCGTGCACGCACACCCTCACCTTCCTGCCCAGCTAACTGCCTTCCTGTTCTTACACACTCAGGAGAGCTTTACCTGCCGGGAGATGTTTTGTCTCCTATTTTTCATGGAATCACATGTGTAGGGAGGGATGCTGGGCCTGACCTACATCTTGTCTCATCATCACCATGGCTAACATAGAGGGCTCAGATTTGGGGCCACCTTGACACACATGACTACTCGTATCTTTACAACAGTTCCAGGAAGGAGTTACTGTTGTAAAATTATCCCTATTTCACAGATGAGGAGACTGAGGCTTGGAGATGTTAAGTTAGTTGTCCCCAGTTACATAGCTGATGGAGCCAGGATTTGAACCAGTCTCTCTGCCTCCAGAGCTTGTTGGCGGAATCATTATACTATCTTGCCTCTGAATCCCTCACACAGAACATGTCACAGGCACAGTGCCCACCCAACACAAAGGATGCTGTGAGTATCAGAAAGGAAACTGAGGGCCAATGACCTGTCACTCATCCTATAAGTGACAGAGATGGAGCTGGAAGCCAGACCAGGGGTCTTCCCGAGGGATTCCCTAAGGATGGGATTCTGCCATCACCCACCTGAGGACCAGGCCTCTCGTCTGGCTCCTGCCTCCATCTGCCTCTCACCCCCATGCCCTTGGCTTTTACTTTTCTCCAAAGGCAGTTGGAGACATTGTACAGAACAGACCAGACAGGCCCTCAGCAGCCACACCACCAGCCACCACAGGCTGCTGAGATTTCAGTTTTAGAGTGGGAGCTGGCACCATGTTTCAAAGAAAGCATCTGAGGCCTGGGAAGGGGAAGAAATTTGGCAGCTCAGGGTCAGACTCCAGACCTCCCGCCATCCAAGCCCATCTTCTGTCTCTAGGCTCTCTCCCTCACTCTTTCAAAAAGTTTTTTCTTTTTCCTTAGAAGGAGACACTGGGGATTGAACCCAGGACCTTGTGGGCACCAAGCACACACTCTAACCAGTGAGCTAAGGCCACCTCCTTCCCAGGCTCTCTTGCTTGATCCCTACCAACTTCCTTTGAGCCAACAGGCACCCAGGGGCTCTGCCTGGCCCCTCTCCCTCCTTCCTGAGCCCCTTTCTCTCTTCCTAACTTTCATGGAGCACTTGCTGCAGGCCAGGCCCTGGGCTAAGCAATTGTAGAAGTTCTCCCTTAGAGCTCCCAGCACCCCTCTGGGCAGCATGGCTACATCATTTGCAGATGCCAATGCAAAATGAAAGGCGGGGCCCCTTGTTGAAAAATTATTACGAATTTCAAGACAGCAGTGGCAGAACAAGAAGAAGCGGAGGGCCTTCGGACCGCACAGGTTGCCTCCCATGAAGCTGACCCTGCCTCTGAGGCAGGTTCCAGTACCATCTCTCAGCAGCTCAGAAATGAATAAATTAATCATCTTCACAAGTTAACACAGCTGGTAAGAGGTGGGACTGAGCCCCTGGCCCACAAGTCCGTGAGACTAGTTAG